CGCCAAACTCACCGGGTGACGGCTCGCGGCAGCAGCAGCCACCGCCGCGTTCATGGCCGCTGGGTACATGATGCTGTGCCCGGCCGGAGATCTCTCGTGTCAGCCTCCCGACGCGCTGGAGGATCGGCCGGAAGGGAGGGGTGGGGTGGGGGGAGAGTGGGGGTGATGTCTCCTTCGAAGGGGGAGGTTAAGGGGGAGGGGGGGAAGAGGAGGGGGGGAAGGGGGCGAGAGTGAAGTCCTTCTTCTTCTTCTTCTTCTTCACCTCCTCGAGCCTTTCCCGTGATGTTGCTGTTTCCTCTCTCTCAATCTTCTCCCGTTATTTTCACCTTCTCTCCTTTCTTTTCTTTTCTCTTTCCCTTTTTTCTTTATCTCTTTTCCTCAATATTTTTTTTTTCTCTTCTCTTCCTTCGTTCACACTACCCTCACGAGGTTATACTAGACACGTGATTCATTGTGCCGATGAGGGGTACCACACACACACTCCGTTACCATGGCAACAACGACGACGGCGGCGACACCTCTCCGTATCTGGCGAAAATTAACGCATCCATGTTGTTCCCTCAGCGAACGCAAACGCACTTCCGCCGAACGTCCACACTCCACGACTTGATAAACACCACACTCAATTTCCAAAAACCAAATCACTTTCCTTTTTATCTCAATTTTTTTTTTCCTCTCTGATTTTCTCTCTTTCCTTTTTCTCTCTCTTTTCTTTCTCTCTTTCCTCTTTGGCTAACTGGATTAAAACTATCCGTTTCGAAACACCTGTAATGGAAAAAAAGGTATGGATTAGTTAATTAACGAGCTAAAAACAGGTGCGTGGAAGGCGTCTGGTTTACAGGTGATCGGGAAAGGTCACCTGTACCTTAAACCTTCACACGAATTAATGCTTTTTTTTCCTTCTTTTGTAACATTTTCTTGTGTTCTTTCGTGTCTGTTCGGTGGATGGTTTGTATACCAATTCAGTCTAATTTCAAAGAGTTCCATTCCTTTGCTTACAATTTTAAAATATATCACTAGAGTGGTATTATACCCAATTTATACAATTTTAAAATATATCACTAGAGTGGTATTATACTGGTCTGCTTATTTTCACTTCTGATTATGTATAGCAGTTAGTAAGTCAGCCTGTTAGTAAGTCGTCAGTCAGTCAAGCCTGCTAACTGTACTTCTTTCTAGCCTATCTATCTATCCGTCTATCAGTAGCCTTTCCTTCCGCTCGTCCAACCGTCTGTCCCCGCCCTCCCTCTCCCTTCCCCTCCCTCTCCCATCCCCTCCCTCCCCTTCTCTCCCTCTCCCTTCCCCTCCCTCCCCCCCTCCCCCTTATCGCCCCGCCCATCGCCAACACCGCCATAAAGATAAGAGCAATCCACTGCCGCTTCACCACTCTAGCCTCGATATTTTTTTTTCTCCCGAGCACGTCCAGATAGGGAGATGCCGGGAGAACGGACGGGGTGGGGGGTGGGGTGGGTAGACGTGGGAGGGGAAGGGGGGGGTTGGAAAAGGGGAGACGGGGGGGAGGGATAGAAATAGGAAAGGGAAGGGAGGGGGGAGGGGGTATAGTTTTTTTAGGAGGGTAGTTGTTTTTTTACTCTGTTATCGCTTGAATAACATCCCTTTCCTTATCTCTCTCTCTCTATCTCTCTCTCTCTTCCTTTCTTTCTTTCTCTCTTTCTCCACCCATTCCCCTTCACAATATATCTACATCTCCCTCTCTCCCACCCCTCCTCTCCCTCTCCCTCGCCCCTCCCACTCCCTACTCTCCCTCTTCCCTCTTTTCTCTTCCTCTCTCCACTTTTCCCTCTTTTCTCTTCCTCTTTCCACTCTTCCCCAGAACAATCCTTTGGTGTTTCTACAAGCTGAAGTCATTCTCTCTGGTCGCTTGGGAATTCACTACACACGCCGTTTAGAGGTTACGCAACAGCTCTCTCTCTCTCTCTCTCTCTCTCTCTCTCTCTCTCTCTCTCTCTCTCTCTCTCTCTCTTTCATCATATTTCGTATCTTTCGTCGGTGATTCTTCTTTCTTTTCTACTTTAATCGTGTTGGTTTGTTGTCATTTTGTTTTACTCCTCTTTTCTTCTTTTTTTTTCCTCTTCTTCTTCTTTCCAATCATCCCCTCTCTCCCTTTCCTTCCCTCTCTCTCAACCTCCTCTATTCCTATCCTGCCACCTCCTCCCTTTCCTCCCTTTCCCCCCCTCCACGTCCTCCCACTTCACCCTCACCCCCATCCCACCCCACCCCACCCCACCCTCCTCCTCCTCCTCCTCCTCCTCCACACACCCCCTCCGACTCTTCATATTTCAAATAACCACTTCTCTCCCACTCTTTTTTCCCTCGCTAAACTCCCCGGCACCTAATCCCACGTCAAAGGACTTTTAGAGAGGTCCATTTCATGCCTGCTCCATTTCTTTGCATCACCGTTCGCCACAGCCATCGCAGGGAGAGAGGGGGGAAGGGGGGAAGGGGGAAGGGGGGTGGAGGAGGGGGGTGGAAGGGAAGGAGGAGGGGTGGAGGGGATGGAGGAGGGGTGGAGGGGATGGAGGAGGGGGTGGAGGGGATGGAGGAGGGGTGGAGGGGATGGAGGAGGGGGTAGAAGGGAATGGATGAGGGGATGGAGGGGTTGTAGGAGGGGTGGAAGGGAAGGAGGAGGGGGTGGAGGGGACGGAGGTGGGAAGACAGGATGAGAGAGGGCACAGGGAGTGGGGACGGGGCGAAGGGGACAGAGGTTGGAAGACAGGAAGGGAGAGGGCACAGGGTATGGAGGGGGGGAGGTAAGGGGGAGTGGGGAAAGGGGTGAGGGATCGGAGGAGAGGAAGTAGGAAGAGAGAGGCAACAAGAAGTGGGGAAAGGGAATGAGGGGAAGGGGGGGGGGGGGTCAGAATGAGAGAGCACAGGGAATGAGGAAGAATCGGGAGGAGTGTGGGTAGTTTGGGGGAAGAGGGGGTGAAGAGAGAGGGAGGGAGGGAGGGAGGGAGAGAGGGAGGGAGAGAGAGAGAGAGAAAGAGGGAGAGACAAAGAGAGAGAGAGAGAGAGAGACAGACATAAAGAGGTGGGGGCATTTCGAACAGCCTTTGATCGCCGCAGCCACAGCCCTGGAGCAGAGTCTGCGGGAGAGCCGGGCACGATAAATCAAGCGTAAATGATTTTATCGGAAGGTGTGGCACGCTTTTCTCTCTCTCTCTCTCTCTCATCCTGTGTGTGTGTGTGTGTGTGTGTGTGTGTGTGTGTGTGTGTGTGTGTGTGTGTGTGTGTGTGTGTGTGTGTGTGTGTGTGTGTGTGTGTGTGTGTGCGTGTGTGTGTGTGTGCGTGCGTGTGTTTGTCCCTCTCTTCATCGCTCGCTTCCACGTGATCGGATGTGTGGACAATTCCTCCCATTCCCTCCTTTATCTCCTCCTTTTATTTGTCACTTTTATCGCCGTCTCTTTTTTACATCTCTCTTCCGTTAGATCGCTTTCCATCCCCGATTTCTTGCTTTGTAAGTTCCAACTCATTCGCTTAATCTCCTTATGACCAGAATTCGAGATAAAGCTTGTGATAAAATTGAAATCACTTTGCGCGCTTTCCAATTAATCCCCATATCAAATTCCCTTCGTAAAATCGTGTATTTTTCGTTCGAACAACACAAAAATCCTTGCCAACTTGCCGCACACACATGCAAACACACGAACCCGTCTATGTATACACACAGATATATATAAATATATATATATATATATATATATATATATATATATATATATATATATATATATATATATATATATATATATATATATATATATACATATACATATATACACACGTACATACATACACGCAAGCGCACACGCACGCACAAACAAATATACACACACACAAGAACACTCAAGGCGCTTCTCCCTCCCTCCCTCTTCCTCTCCCTCTCTCTCTCTCTCACACTCTCTCACTCCCTCTCTTCTTTCTTTCTTCTTTCTTCTCTCTCTCTCTCTCTCTCTCTCTCTCTCTCTCTCTCTCTCTCTCTCTCTCTCTCTCTCTCTCCCTCCCTCCCTCTTTCGCACCAGCGCCACAACCCTAAAAGCTTTCTCAATAATCCCTTAGCGAGTCCCTTAATCCCGGCGCCTAAAAACTCCCCTCCATTCCCCGTCTACCTCCCCCTCCCCCCCTCTCTCTTCCCTAGCCATCCCATCCACTCTCTACCCCTTCCTTCCTTCCCCCCCTCTTGTCTTCCCCCTTTTCTCTCTTACCCTTTCGCCCCTTACTCCTTCGCCTTCTTCTTCTTCTTCTTCCCTTCCTTTCTCCCTCCCCATCGTCTTCCCTTCACCTCTTCCCCCCTACCCCTTCTCCCCCCTCCTTCCCTCCCCCCCCCTTCTGCGCTCCTAGTTCTCTTGCTGCCACAACACCACGTCAACACCTCCCCCCTCCCCCCCCCACACTCCACTTAAGCTCTTCTCACTCCCCCTCCCCCCCCCCCAGCTCCCCCTCTCCCTTCGTATCCCTTCCTCTTTACAACCTGTTCTTTGTGCTTTTTTATTTTCCTTTTTTTTCTCTTTCTTCTTCCTTCGTTTTTATCAAACTTGACTTCATCTTCCACCTCACTTCCTCCCAAGTCCGATCTTCTTATCTTCTTATCCTTCTCTCTCTCCTCTCCCTTTCTTCTTCTTCTTCTTTTCTTCTTCTTCTTCTTCTTCTTCTTCTTCCAATGTTCACTCCTCTTGAAGCCCCCCCCCCCCCGTGATCCCTGGCTAAGCTTTCCTTGTCCCTCGCACCGGACACAGGCTTCCTTAGGGCTTCACTCGGTCCACTGCCTTGTCTAGGCTTCTTCCTCCTCCTCCTCCTCCTCCTCCTCCTCCTCCTCCTCCTCCTCCTCCTCCTCCTCCTCCTCCTCCTCCTCCTCCTCCTCCTTCTCCTTTACCCCCTACTCCTTCTCCCTTAACTCCTCCGGTTCCCCTTCACTCCCACCTTATTCTCCTCTATTCCTCTTCTCTCTTATTCTTTCCCCTTCTCCCTTATCTCTTTCCTCCACTCCTCCTTCCTTACCCCAACACCTTCAACATACTCCTACTTCTCTTCCCCCTTCTCCACCTCCTTCTCCTCCTCCTCCTTCTCTCCCCCCCTCCTCCTCCTCATTCTCTCCCCCTCCTCCTCTTCCTTTTCTCCCCCTCCTCCTATTCCTCCTTCTCTCCCCCCTCCTCCTCCTCCTTCTCCCCTCCCCCTCCTCCTCTTCCTTCTCTCCCCCCCTCCTCCTCTTCCTTCTCTCCCCCCCTCCTCCTCTTCCTTCTCTCCCCCCCTCCTCCTCTTCCTTCTCTCCCCCCCTCCTCCTCTTCCTTCTCTCCCCCCCTCCTCCTCTTCCTTCTCTCCCCCCCTCCTCCTCCTCCTCCTTCTCTCCCCCCCTCCTCCTCCTTCTCCCCTCCCCCTCCTCCTCCTCCTCCTTCTCCCCTCCCCCTCCTCCTCCTCCTCCTCCTCTCCCCCCCCCTCCTCCTCCTCCTCTAAGGCTTCCCACCTTGTCGCCTCCTCGGTCGACAGGAGCCAATCCGTGGAGCAGCCGTGGAAGACGATGTAAAACAAGGCAAATGGGGCTTTTCTTTCCCCTTCGTCGCTAAACATATTAGGAGAATGTAAACCTAGAATATATATATATATATATATATATATATATATATATATATATAGAGAGAGAGAGAGAGAGAGAGAGAGAGAGAGAGAGAGAGAGAGAGAGAGAGAGAGAGAGAGAGAGAGAGAGAGAGACGTTCCCCTTTCATAACAATATATATGCAAATACACACACA